TCCAGGGCCCAGCCACCCTCTGGGTGAAGAACCTTTTCCTAATGTCAGGTCTGTGCTTTTCCTGACACAGCTTCATGCTGTTCCCTTGAGTCCTGGCATTAGTCACCAGAGAGAAAGTGACAAGCATATGGGCAAGCCTTGTCCCTACAGAAAACCTAGGAGGGAAATAGAGAAGGAAAAAAAATTTAAAAAAAAATAAAATAAGGGGATAAATATTTGGGAGGAGGGCGTTTAAGAGGAGAGAAAAACAAATCAAAGCCAGTGCCAGGCTAGAACCAGCAGCTGGTTGCCAGCACAGCAGGCTGAGAAGTTGTTGGTGGAAGCGCTCAGTGCCATGTTTGGGTTGCTTTAAAAACATACAGCGTCCCTCCCCTGTTATTCCGCCTCTGCTTTTCTTTTCTCCCAGCCCCACAGGCAGGAGGAGGGGGGACTCGGCTGCCAAAGGCAGGCTTGTATTTCCAGCAGTGCCAAGGGATGCACCCAGAGTGTGTCCTGCGCTGTCACACGTGTGTGTGCACACGCGTGTGCGCCCATGAGCTCCGCGCCTGGGCAGCTCCGGGCTGGAAGGGACGGACCTCCCGGCCTTGTTGTGTGTCCAGGGGCTCCCCACACCTCGAGGAGAGATGCCAGGGCATTGGCAACCATGGCACGAATTTTTTTTTGTTTGTTTTTCCTTTTTTTTTTTTTTTTGTTGCCGGTGTGAGAGCGGGAGGTTGGGAGGGCTGGGGACGGAGGAGAAAGGGAAGGGTGGAAGGTTGTAACGCTTGGCTGGAAAAATTTAGAGGAGTACAAAGGGAGAGAGCGCGATGAAAAGGGGTGGCGGCGGGAGAAAGTCGGGGTGGGGGGGAGGGAGGAAGGAGCTGTGAACTGGCCGCCGTGAGGTGGGAAGAGATTTATGTTTGCCGAGCGGTTGGGTCGGGAGCAGGCTGGGAGGGTGCGGGGTGCCGCGGGCAGGGCGGGGGTGCCGCGGGGAGTCTGACAGCGAACCAGCGGGGCTTCGTTTTCCGCCTTTCTTTCCTCCCTCCCTCCCTCCGCTGGGCGCTCGGAGGAGAAGGCAAGACAAAAAGCTGAACCGGTGCCAAGAAGGAGCTGCAGCGACTCGAAAAATGGCACTCTGCGCCGCACTAATATTTCGAAGCTGGGCTGTGCTGGAGAGAAGGGAAACGTGTCAGGAATGAGAATGGCTGAGACCGTGGGGCCACTGGCCGGGCTCAGGAGTGTCCTCCCTCCTCCCTGCTTCCCATTCGCCTTTTAAATGTGACCCTTTTTCTCCTCCAGCCACCCCCAGTGGTATTTAGGAGCTCTGGGAAAGGGAGGGGACCTTTGCTGGAGACATGGAATGTAAAGGGGCTCATCCCCTCCTTCCATCTCTGTGTCAGGGAGGGCTTTTTTTTTTTTTTTTAATTTATTTATCTTTTTTGTTATTTTTTTTTCTCCTAAGGAGGAGTAGAACACTTGATTCCCAGTGAGTTTTCTGATTGTTTTCCCGTTGCCCTTCCCCTCCTCCTCGCTGTCCTCCTCCTCCTCCTCCTCTCACTGTACCCATAAGGCTGCTGTTGTGGCTCTGTATCTTGATGCAAGGTTACTTGTAGGACACACGAGTCTCTGCTGCAAGGTGCAGCGTCGCCTGCGTCGGTGTTTCCCTCCGCTTCTCATTTGCTGGGAGACGAGGCAACTTCCAAGCGGCTCCACGGCTCAGCTCAGCGCCTGGCTGATGCAGTGGCGCTGTTAGGGTTGCAAAAGCCCCTTCCCGCAAAGCATGTCTGGATAAAACAAACAAAAAATTGTCATGTGGGGATGAAACTGCATCAGTTCATAAGATTGGTTAACTCGCCAGAAATGGGATGGAGTTTTGTGGTGATTTTTGTGTGAAAGGAAGGGTTTTGCCCTGTGTTGTTTCCCCTGTCCCTCTCAAGGAAAAGGGATATAAAAATTCCCACTTTCTTTTTTAATGGAGTTTTATTATTACTTTTTTTTAGCATTTTAAAAATTATTACCAGCACGAGCACTCTTGTAATAGTTCAATTGTTGAAGTTAAATGCAAATATTTTTCCCCTACCCCACAGATGTTCCTTTTTGGACCATTTGGAATTCGGATTTGGAGTTTTAGGTTGTCTTTACAGAAACTAAAGACTGGAGAAAGAGAAAATCCCAGTCTTTGGTTTTGAAAACAGGTCCACATCCTCTTCTATCAGTTTTAGCCTTCACATAGCTAGCAGGTCAAGTTCAAGGAGACCTTTCTAAAGCACAGGCAGAGCCTTGTTAACTTGCTGCATCTCAGGAGGCTGTGGGTTCTTGGGTTACTAGCTTGGCCCATTTTGTAGTCCTAGGCATGGGATGATCCCTTTGACCTCTCTCTCACCTGAAAACCATGCCCTAGTAGACATACAAACCACTTCAAACCTCACCTTTGGTCTCAAACACGTAGACCTGGTTTGGGAGCACCTAGCTCTGCCCAGGCAATGCCTTTCTGGAAATACTCTGATAAATAGTGGGGAATTCAGGGAAACTCAAAGGCCTGCTCTTCTTACCCTCTTCTCACAGCTCCTTGCAAATCAATAGTCCTTACTCTGTGGAGGATCAAATGCTCAGTCCCAGATTAACACTGCTGGGAGGTGCACTCGTTTCTGAGGTGATGTAAGCAGGTTTTGTATGGAGTAGAATGACTACAGCAACTGATCCCTTGCTCTTCCTCACCTCTCAGCTGAGCCTTATACCATGCTTACCTGATCCTACCTGTTTTCTCTGAATAAAAGGCATACATAAAATACATGGGTTTCTATAAACACATGTGCATGCTGTTTGCTTTTCAGTTGTCTCTTTGGGCTTCATGAGATGAGGTGTGTTTTTAAGCCACCATCCTCACCAAGGGCAGGCACCATGCAGATCTTGCCTGAATTTCATAGAGTCACAGAATGGTTTGGGTTGGAACAAATATTAAAGCTCATCTCATTCCAACCCCCTGTGCCACGGGCAGGGAGACCTTCCACCAGACAAGGCTGCTCCAAGCCCCATCCAACCTGGTCTTGGACACCTCTAGGGATGGGGCAGCAACAGCTTCTCTGGGCAACCTGTACCAGGACCTCACCACCCTCACTCCTTCCCAGTATGCCATCTAACACTGCCTCTGGCAGTCCTTGTCCTGTCACCTTGTCCTGTCACCCCAGGCCCTTGTCCAAAGTCCCTCCTCAACTCTCCTTTAGCCTCTTTAGGTACTGGCAGGTGCTCAGGGTCTCCCTGGAGTCTTGTCTTCTCCAGACTGAACAATTCCATTGTTCTCAATCTCTCCTCGTAGGTGAGATATTCCAGAATTTTCCAGACTTTTTGCTGGTATTTTTGTCTGTGGCTACTCATCTTCCTTTGGGCACAACCTGCTCTTTTTAACCTGCGATCCCTAAGGATGGTAATCTCAAGGATCCATGGGATTCTAACCTACAAGAGCAAATGGCAGGAGTGGAGATTACAACCCACATCAAAGGGACCAGAGGAGACCCTGGTGTTGTCCTGACCCACCATGCGACTGTACAGACCATTGTTCATGCTTTTACATGTGGAAGCAGCTTGTGTTTACTACTGATTTAAAGCTCTTGATACATGAGTTACCAAACAACAGTTCCCATCGGGTTCACAGAGAGGATCCCAAAGATATGGACAAGTATTAATGTGGAATCACAGCATCCATATGCACAGAGTAGCAATGTAGTGTTTGTTATTCAAGAAGGTGAACTGGGAGCAACAGATGAAGAGACCTTCCTAAACCTTGCTACTTCAGAATTCAGACCTCTTTCATTCCCTTGGTATCTTGAGAGTAGGGGAGCTTTGGGGCAAAAATGCTGCTCTTGTACTTTCCAAGTGGTCAAGTAAGCCATCTGGGCAGCTTGGTCATACTTCCCAAGGAGGGAAGGCAGTGACAAGGCACTTGAATGCCTTGTATTTATTTCTCCCTGTATAAAGGAGGCGTCATTGGATGTATTCTCCTGAAACATGATGTCTCGTATATAAAGTTGTTTCCTTCAAATCCTTCACCCTTTTAACACTTTATAACGAGAAATACTGTTTGCTTGGAGTTGTTATGAGATGACTTGTGTCTGGAAGGGTTAATCTGCAGAGCTCTTCCAAGGCTATCTTCCACACCTTCCCCACTCCCGGTCTTATTTTTTTGGACCGGAAACCTCATATTTCTGTAATCTAAATGTGCAAATGCTTTGCAGTCACGGTCCAGTAGCTGGGTTAATCTCAGCCCCCTGGAGTGGCAGATGGCTGATTTGTTGCTGGTTCCAGTTACAGAGAATTGTGTCACCTATTATCTTTGCACAGGCTGATGCTTGAAAGGATGCCTTTGGCAAAATCAGTGCAAAGCAAAGCAAAAAAGACACTCTCTGATCTGCATCACCACAGGTGAAAATGTAAAATATTTCACCTTTGTGTGAAGGGCTGGAGAGGTGGACAAAGAGGAGAAGTGGGAATGGAGGAAGGAGAGGAAGACCTAATTTTCATACCAGAAGTACCAAAGCACAGGGCAGAGCAGGTTGGTTGCAGTCATGATGTTGAATCACAAGCACTTACCCTGTTTTAAATGGTTTTCCAATGTGGTAATCCTTGGCTTCAGCTCCTTACTTTAGCTCCTATACAAAACAGGCAGCTTGACATCTTGTGACACCTTCCTGCTCTTCCCAAGCCTTTCTAACAGGGGTTGTCAAAGGAATCCGTGGTATCTCTCCCTGACATCAACACTCATTGTGCCAATACTTGGGGGTGCTTGGGAGGAGAAACCTACACATCTGTGTGGGGTAAGGGAAAGCTTGGGGGACCTTCCAGAACTCTGCAGGGCTGAGAGTGAGCCCCAGCTCTGGGGGCTGGCACATGGTGGTGGCCATACTGAAGGCTGTAAAGAAACTGAAAGGGCAGAGCAAAAGTCTGTGGGCTTGTGACCATCTTCTACACAGTCATCCCAATAATCAAGGTTTTGTCTTTTCTTTTTGCTTTGGGAAACACCACAGAGTCAGATGAAGAATTTGGGAAGAGAGTGTGGGTTCCCTGTGCAGAGTCCAGTGACGAAATCTGTGAACAAGGTAAGAACAAGGGGTTATGGCCCTGATGCTTTTTGTTTATTCCTTTTCCCCTTCCAGATGCATTTTTGCAGTGTTAGACACAAAATGTAAGTATGCATAGCACAGAAAGTGATAGTCCAAGCCCTAAGCAAAGGAGTCTAAAAAGATCAAGCTGAATAAGGTTTCTTTTTAATTCGTGCCGTTACGATGGTTTGGATTTTAGAACAGTTTGTATTGTATCCAAATGATCTATGTGTGAATAATTGTTACCAACCTCCTGACACCAGGACCTAATTAGGAAGTAGGAGCCTTAAATAGGCCATTTGCGTAGTGAGTTTCCATATGTCTCCTTGCACAATTTATTTGCTTCACTCCATTGAGATAGAATGAGAATGAAACTCTTAGAACTGCCTTTGACTCTGAGGCTCTTCTCTTCATCTCCTCTGCAGTTACAGCCCACTATTAAGAAGACAATATCTCTTGCCCTGTGTTCAGGCAGAAAAAGCTGGTCGTAGTGCTACTTTTATTCCAGATTGCCCAAGCTTCTCTATTTCCAAGTCTCCAATGGAAATGGAGTGAGAAATGCAAAACCAATCTGCAGACTAGGAAAAATGCAATGTTGTCAGAGAAAGCACAGAGGTCAGGGCAGGATGATCTTGAAGGAATACTACCTGTCCTCTCTGCCTCACAACCCTGCTGAAAGCTGATGCTGCTGTATTTCAGTTACTGTATAGATGCAATTTTAGGAATTCAGTGGACAGAAGCAATTTGAAGAGCTCTGTATTGCTTCTGTCTGGGTTTCTTCCTGCTAGGATGTGAGGAAGGGGGAAAGGTTGGTGAAAGGCTGCCTGAGTTTTATCTTAGTTTTGAATATTTAGCTCAGTCTGGACCAACATCCTCCCTTGGATTCCTTGTTCATTTTTATGATGCAGGATATGTTCTTTAAGTATAGTTTCAGAATATATCCCTTATTTCCAAACACTTCTTGCATGTATGACTCCACTCATGCTTCATGTGGCCCTCTTGATTCTTTTACTCCCATCATCCTGAAGTCAGCAAAACTTCAGTGTATGATTAAGTGTTATTTAAGGGATAAACTTTAAGGAATGTTCAAGATGTATTTGGTTTGGTAAGTTTTTTTTTTCATCCCCAAATCTGGATCTTTAGTTTCCCAGTGAAAGACAACTCTACTCGCACTGATTTTGTTTATGATAATTCACTTGCATGTTCCCTTCCAGGAATTGTCATTGCCTTCCAGAAGGGAGGTTAGTGTTAGTCCCCTCGCAGTGATAATTATAATCAGACCTGTCAGCCTTCACACAGTCTACGCTTATCACTTGCATTTAGGAGGATTTTTCCTGAAGCCTATTACCAGTGCTGCTTCTTAGGGAAAAATAGTCATGATTTTTTCCTGCTAATCTTTGATGGCTCTCAGCTTTGAAAGCATGGAGAGGAGCAAAATGACTGCCAGTTGTAGTTAAAGAAACTGTCTGTTGGTTCAGGTACAGAGGTCTGTAAAGCCAAGGAGTGGGAGGATTGTCTGGGAAATGCTGAGGGGTTTAATTTGGTTGTGACAACACCTCAGGTGTGCTGGGGACACAAAGCAGCGCCTTTTTCAATGGTGGTGCCCACAGGGACTACCTCTGCAGATCCACTAGACAAAGGCTTCAGGTAGCAAGTGGCTCTTGGCAGTGATTCCCTCTCCTCCTGCTGTTTTGGGCAGCGATCTCTGCCCAGGTTGAGTGGTTTGGAAGCAGGATGGCCGGAGAAGTGGCTGCAGTTGGCACTGGAGGCCATGGCTGGTGTCATATGGACCAGTAGCCACTGGCACACTGCAGTGCAGCAGTGCTGGACAGAGTGGTGGTGTTGGGTAGGATGTGGTTTAGTATTTATTCATTCCAGGATGTTTGAAAATTGTCCCCCCTAGTGTTACTCCCTGGGAAACACATTCCCCCATTTATTGGGTTCCCCCTCCCCCCCCTTTTCACTCAGTTATTCCTACTGATATGCTAAAAAACCCCTTTATTTGTTTTGGGGGGTTTGATAACATGAAAAACAATTAATTTTTACCATTTCATCGGACTAAATGACTGATGTATCTTTTAGTCCCTCCTGTGTTATCGCCATGCTTTTTGTAATGTATACAGAGATTTGGGCTCCCTTGATTTTGGTAGAATTTGAGGGTGGTCAGCACTTCGTAGCTTTTGCAGCAAAGGAGATGGTGAGAGATTTGGAACCCTTATGTTCTTTGCAGTTTCATATTTACAGTGTGCAGTGATATGATTTGCCTTTGTTTTATTTAAATTTACTGGGAACTAGAGATTTATTTATCAGGTGTCATTCCCTGAAGGATGATAAATGCCATATAGAGAAGACTTCATCTATTATACAAACAGATTTGAAGGCTTTGCTGTTGCATTCCTCTGACTGCTGAATGGAGTAAAAATGCCGTCGGCTGAACAGAGACAGTGATACTTAGCAGTAGCATCTTATGACCTTTTGATCAGCTGAGATCTCAAGCCATATTAGTGGACAGATTATGATGTGATGGAAAGAGGGCCAGGAATAACCTTTTTATCATGAGATCCTTTTGTGAATATCCTTCTTGGGTGTATTCAGGTGGTTAATCACTAGGCTAGGGCAATCAATTGGAAGCAGGGGAATGAAACACTGGTGCAGGCACTCCAAATGCACTCAGGTTTGCCAACTGCAGCTGGATGTTACAGCTTACAGTTTCTCTCTAATATTCTCCTACCCTCCTTTTCCTATCAAGGCTGTGGGTGACCTTGCATTATTTCCTAATACTAATAACCCCATTTTGTCAGAACGAGCTACATAAAATGAACCTTGAGTCCTTGGACCACAGGGGACCTGCAGTCCCTGAATCAAAGGTGTACACATTGTAAATATAGATATCTGTGAATGGAAACTCACATGGAAATGTCTCAGTCATTTTAGAGATAATAACAGTAATGCTTAAGCCTATTTCAACCCTTTTTAGGGAAAAAAATAATGCAGGTTTCAAAAAATGCACAGCCTTGCCAGTATTTCTCTTTTTACAGAGCCAAGCAGAAAAAACAAGAATGACTTTTACATTGATGTTACCTGCCTGCTTGTGCAAAATTACTACTTAAACTTTGCTGTAGTTTTTCATTAGCGTCCTTTTTATCTTAACGGCCAAGACAAATCTGCAGCCTCCTTGAAAACTGAACATACATAATTGCTCATTTATTGCTGACTCTGCACACCAATAACAGTTGTGCCAAAGTTTGACCAGGCTGCTGTGATCAGTTTTGGAAGGAAGGAAGGAAGGAAGGAAGGAAGGAAGAAAGGAAGGAAGGAGAGGCACGTGCTTTGTGGAATTCAGTGTACATGCATCTGGGTCTGTCTGAGCATGATCACATGCCCAGGGAGGCCCTGATGGTTGTAGAGTATGCAGCATCATCACCCTGTACATGGTTAGCATAGGGGTGTCCAAGTTGCACACATTTTGCTTCCTCTTGAAGCCAAACAAGCTGCTCATTTTACTGACATGAAGAAGGAGAAGGGCTGGCAGTGTGTGAATCACAAACTGCTGCCAGTGTAGTGGGGATGCTGGTGCACCAGGTCTGGAGAACAATAGCTACCACAGCCCTATGGAAACTCTTTGAAAATAAGAAGGTTATGGAGGTGGAAGAAATGCACAGCAGGATGCTGTCTCCTCTTACCTCCCCCAGCCTCTTCAATCAGGTGCCTGCTGGGCTTCCCACTCCTCCTGCCTTTTGCACTAGATCATAGGATCACAAGGTATTAGATTCTGCTGGCATGAAGTCATCCACCATCCTCCTGGCATTATAGCTTCCTGAGTCAGGGAGCCACCACGAGACATCGGGACTGTGAGCCCCCATGGTCCTTAGAGTTGCTGCTGCCAGGGCCACAGGTTGTCCAGCTGGGAGCTGGGAGGTGACACCAGCTGGTTGACACAAGTCTCCATCATCTTTTCCTTAGGAAAGCAGGCACTGCTAAAGGTGGATGGCAGCCTTGGTGCCACTGAGAAAGTGACATTGCTGAAATATAAGCAGCTCACTATGACAAGGAGCTCCCTCCCAAGCTCCTTCTGCAAACCATGAGACAGTTGCTGCACAGGTGATGCTCAAGGCTGAGTGTTGGAAGTGTCATGATCTAAACCATTCAAAGGGATGAGTTCCTCTGAACAGCTCCCATATCAAAGTAAGAGCTTCTGAAGGCAGCTTTGAGACCTTTTCACCAAGAAGTCTTTGTGGTGTGTGTGATGAAGAGAGTGTAGGCACAGAATGTTTCCCCTGCCTCCCTCCTCTGCCTTGTAGTGCTTGAGTCCCTGTGGGGTGTAGGAGGGTGCCCAGATTTGGGTGACACCATACCAAGGTCTTCCTTCTTGGTTTGGGGTTGCATTCACCCTGCTCCACCTTCTACCAAATGGCCCCTGCCCTGATATAATCAGGTCTTCTCAAAAAGCTTTCGTTCAGCTAGTTGTAGCTCAGAGAAACCCGTGAAAGGAGACTTGCTTTGCCTTTGGCAGGTCAGCACAGAAGTTTATAGGACATCTAGAGGTATCCCAATTGTCATGGTTTAACCCCAATCAGCAGCCAAGCTCCACACAGCCACTCACTCACTCCCCCACCAGAGGGATCAGGGAGAGAATCAGAAGGGTGAGAATCAGAAGGGTAAAAGTGAGAAAACTCATAGGTTGAGATGAAGACAGCTTAATAAGGAAAACAAGTGCTGTGCACACAAGAAAAGCAAACCAAAGAATTAATTCACTGCTTCCCATGGGCAGACAGTTGTTCAGCCACCCCCAGGAGAGCAGAGCCCCTTCGCACGTAAAGATTACTCACCATCACTCCAAACATCTCCTCTCTCCTTCTTCTCCCCAGTTTATATATTTTCATATGGTCTGCAATATCCCTTTGCTCAGTTTTGGTCACCTGTCCTGCCTGTGCCTCCTCTCAACCTCTGATGCACCCCCAACCTCATCACCAGTGCGGCAGTAGGAAAACCAGGAA